CAGTTGGTTGGGTGACTGATTCTTAGTTTCAACTCAGGTTATGATCAGTCAATCAATAAGATTCTGAAAGGTGGAAAGAAGGCAGGTCAGCTAGGAACTCAGGACCAGAAGAAAGACATAGTAGTGAATTTTCTGGATTTTCTTTTTCCTCATAGATCTCTGACTAGGTACTAGGTACTCTGAAGCTGGCAACCCAGAAATGCCAATGGCCATGGGCCAGTGGAGGCCATGTAGGAAGTTTGGATCCCACCTTCGGGGTCACTGGAGGGCACGTGGGGAACAATTATGAGGTGTCCCTGCACATCTACCTGTATCTGGCAGTATGGAGGCAACAACCTCCCTTGCCCTGAGGCAGCATTGTCAGAGAAGGCCTGCTAAAATACAACCTTTTAAGATGAGCCAGTCTTTTTAATATGATACCCAAAATGTCTGGGTATTAATGGAAAATCATTCCAAGGAAGATCTCAACTTGAATGAGAGAAGACAATCAACAGATGCCAATATTGAAATGACGCAGATGTTAAATTATGACAAGGATTTTGAAGCAGCCATCATAAAAGTTCAATGAACAATTACGAACATGCTTCACAAATGAAAGAGTAGCAAGGCTCATCAAAGAAATAGAAGCTACAAAGAAAATCAAATAGAAAATTAAAACTAAAACATACATGGGCACAATCAGTGAACTTGAGGATAGAACATGAGAAATTACCCAGTCTGAACAACAGAGAAAAAAGACTGAAAAGATAAAAAGCCTTAGGGACAAGTGAGACTGCAACAGAAGATCCAACAACTGGGTCACTGGAGTCCCAAAAGGAAAGGAGAAAGGGGATGGGGCTGAAAGAGTATTTGAAAAAATAATGGCTGAAAATTACCTAAATTTGGGAAAAGGCATAAACCTACAGGTTTAAGAAGTTGAGCAAACCCCAAACAGGACCCAAACATATTCATGCCAAGACACATCATAGTCAACCTTCTGAAAACTAAGAACAGAGAGAAAAATCTTGAAAGCAGCCAGAAAGAAGCGATGCAGGAAATGCACAGATTTTGGGCATTAGAGGAATGGGTGGGTTACCAGCACTTCTTGTTGATTTCAACTATTAGTCTTTTGCCTTTGTAACTGAACTTAACTGAGCTAACATGCACAAAGCATTTACTAGACATCTATAAATTATGCTGGCACTTGAGGGACATATGTCAATCTCATTCCTCCTATAACTGCTCCACAGATGTTATTCAACAGAGCAAATCAAGAAATTCCAGAATTTGAAAGAATCTCAAAAAAAAAAAAAAAGACAAGCACAGTAATTTTTAATTTGGGAAAAAAAAAAAAAAAAAAAAGACAAGCACAGTAATTTTTAATTTGGGATTTCTTCATGGGCTTCAGCTCTGTGCACTACTTGAAATTAATCGAAGAAATGCCAGCATGTATGTGCATTTTTCAAAGGAAAAGGACCATGGTTTTCATCAAATTCTCAAAGGAGCTGGTGGCCCTAAAAAGATTAAGAGCCACTGTTAAAGTTTCTGTTCTTTTCAGGCTAAGCCATATAATCCAACCTAGGTAAAAAACAACCTAAAAATAGAGAAGGTATTCCTCATTCTGTCAAAATTCCTGAATGCTACCTCTTGATAATTCTCTACTTCTAAGGGAAAAATAAGAAAGGGGCAGTTTTCTAATTCTTTCTAGGCACTTCTGGAAATACACTGTTCATTAAAGAATGTTTGCCTGTAGTCTTATTTCAATCATTTTAAAAATAGTACCTGGAGGTGACTAAATGACTAACGCGCTGGGATTTAAAATGTACTTTAAGTTTGATTTCTCGCAACGCCAATGAAAAAGTCCAGTTGTATAAGGAAGAATCAGCAGCCTCTCTATGCCAGTATCAGTGGGCTGGTTTATGAGCAAAGATAAACTGTTCTACAATCTGCATTCCTTTTTCCACCTTTCAAAAAAAAAGGCATGTAAAATTAAGTTCTATTAATTACACAATGTGTAACTGTCAATTTATCTGAACAAAAAATGTTAGTGCATTCTCTTGTGAAAAAATAAAACAGCTATGACAAAAACAGATCTATTTAGTTTCTGTCTGTATAGTATGGTTGTCCCTCACTTCTTGTACCTTCCACCCAACCCCTTCATGCAAGCCAGGTGAGTTCACCTGCAGGATTGCACTATAAAACAGGGTTTTAGGTTGCTACTGCCTGTTTTCTAATCAAAATTAAGACCCCCAATGTCACCTGGAGAGCAAGATTGGATAATGCATTATTTCAGTAAAAAACTTGATTATCTGCTTCCAGTAGGACCTCATGTAGTTTGATTTACTCAGACTATTCTCTGCTGGCTTGTATCTACAGAATCAAAAGAATCACATAGAATTCCAGGGCCCAACCTAAAATTACCACAATGCAACTAGGAGAAAGATTTGGGAATCTGAAAATTTTTCCAAGTCCTTCAGGTGATTCTTGAGTTCAAACAGTTTAAAACAGTCTCAAACTTGAATATGCACACAAATGATCCTGGGCTCTTGAAACAAATGCAGATTCTGATCCGATTGGTCTGGACAGGGTCTGAGATTCTGCATTTCTAACAAGTCCCCAGATGATATTGCTGGTTTGAGGACACTTTGAGTAGTAAGATCAGAGAGGGTATGTTTCATCTGGTTAGTGTGTAAACTAGTATAGGCCATTACCTTTTCCTTCTGTATCTGTGGATTCTCTACCAGGGACTTCTACCTTGATACTGCCATTTCTCATTTATCACTGATAGTGTTTCTATAAGCTAGTGTGATCGCTTAAGGTAAGGCATTGGGCCACTAAGCTGACATAAAAGTACATACAAAGATAAAAACAACCTGAAATAAACAGAAATGAACATCACACATTAACTTACAACATAATGGGTTTATATTTAATATAGTACTTCCCACCATAGAGATGTTACTCAGTTAATACAAAGGTTTTTTTTAACATTAAATTTCTCCATTTCAATGTCAATATATTTTTTTACATTAAATACTGTCTCCATTTTAACATTAGATACATTGAATACATTTTTCTTATCTCCCCCAAGAAATAAAAATTTTAATTTCTGACCGTATTTGATATTAAGTTGGGAGTTAACAAAACAAAAATCTAATAAAAATATGGAGAAAAGACTCCTCAGTGATAGAGGAATTGGCAATTTCCTAGGATTTTGGGCAAGGGTTTCCTTCTTCCTATTTCATGCACTTTGAGAATTCCGAGAAACTATGAAATAATATGTAAATTTCAGTCATCTGACTTCTTTGACCCTCTAACTAGCATATATGAATTAGAGACTGCTTTTTTCAGTGCATTATTTATTGTGAAGAAAACTTTTTTTTTTTTCCCATTTAACATATTATTAATTTGTTCCCACTTACAGGGAGACAAGAATGTGAAAATACCCTATTTCTTGGGAACTTTTAGACATTAAAGCTCAGTTTTTAACCTCAGTAACACAAAGATTTTCCAGGCAAGGTGTGATGCACAAGGCCCATCAAAATCACATTTGTCCATTCTTCTTTCGTGCATATACCCCCAAACAAGCACAAATGCCTGTAATGCTGAGAGCCACACCTAACAAGAGAGCGATTGCATCTCCAGCTTCTACTGCTTCAACAACAGGCAACACCAAAAGCAGTGAAATGAGGACCAAGAGCAACTGTGTTGAAACTGAGGTCATGATGTTGGGATCTTCAGGTATCTGGATCTTGAGGGCTGAAGGTTTCTAGAAATCAAACATGGAAACAAAAAAGGATCATTAAAAATTCCCACCATTTCAGTATGGATACATAAATAACAATCCACACACCTTTTAAATTTAAGTTTCAGACCCATCTCCTCATTTAATGGTAGAAAAAAACAGGTTAAGTTTATAAAAGGTATTTAAAGATGGGGGCGCCTGGGTGGCTCAGTCGTTAAGCGTCTGCCTTCCGCTCAGGTCATGATCACAGGGTCCTGGGATCGAGTCCCACATCGGGCTCCCTGCGCGGCAGGAAGCCTGCTTCTCCCTCTCCCACTCACCCTGCTTGTGTTCCTGCCCTCGCTATCTCTCTCTCTGTCAAATAAATAAATAAAATCTTTTTTTTTAAAAAAAAAAAAGGTATTTAAAGATGGTCATTTGAGGCTAATTTCCCCTTTTCATAATAATTCCTTGACTCCAGCAATTTTTCCGCACTCTATCATGCCAACACCATGTGAATCAACTAAGCAAATGAACAGAACATAATTAAGAACAAAGAGAAAACACACAAGACACTCGTAAACTTAAAATACCTTAGTGAGTAAAAATTACATTTTCTTAGGATTTCTCCCATCCAGGAAATGCAGACAAATCTGGCAAAAGTCACGCAAGATGTAAATCTGTGAAGTTGTGGGGAATTAGTAAAACTTACCAAAAAAAGGATTTACGTATAATTCTGATTCGAAATAGTCCCTTCCTGGAGTTCCGGATCGCTGAGGCTAAGAGGTTCCACGTGACAGAGCCTATTATCAGAAGAGGGTAGGATTTAAGAACTACTCACCATCACCATCAGCAGCATATATTATTATTAAGGAGACAGCCAGAGTCAGTGCAGAGCGAAGAGGTCGTACGGAAGAGAGAGGAATGGATAATAACTAGAGAAAACAGTTTGTTCAAGCAGGGGAACTAGACTTAAAGTTGGTCAGTTTGCCCGCACAGGAAAACCTAAAAATAAATCGAACCCAGAGACAAGTTCGTGCCATGACTTGATATTAAGATTTTAAAAAGAATCCCTGCTTTGTCCCGGCGAGGTGCAGATATGACCCCTGTTTTACAAATACACTGAGGCAATCTTAAGTATCCTTTGGAGCGGAGATCGTACATTACCTTCCTGGAAGCAGCCATTAGAGGAATGGCGAAGAGGGCGGGGTCTCCAAACTACACTTCCCACAATCCACGCTGCCGACGACTCCCAGGATGCGCCGGAGCGCTCCCCTGTAACTGGCTGAGAGAGTGACGGGCACGCTGCACAGGAGAAGAGGAGGAGCAAGCTTGAGGGGCTTCCTCACACGGCACAACATTTTACCGGTAAAGTGTTTTAGTGTAATTGTACAAACGCTCTCTCAAAAATGAGTTAAAGAAATGAGAGCAAGTGATTTTTACCCTATTTAAGGTTTTAAGACACACAAATAGTTATGTCTTTTCTTCGACTGAAATGAAGACACAACAGCGGGAAGATACCACCCGGGCACAGCCATCTGTTTCGGATTCTTTTTAAACTAGCGGCTTCCAACATTCTGAAGCAGGGAATCCCCTGTCACCATCTTCCAAATGTGCCTTATGACGTTTTGTTCATTCCTTTTAAGCAATGGGGAAAACACGTTTAATTAGACATTTTGGAAAATGTTAAAACCATTTGTAGGGAAACACAAAGTTTAGGAAAAATGGTTTGAAGGAAGATCTCTTTTATTCGGGTTCTGGAGTTGTGAGAATCCCCCTTAGTTCAAGAGTGCAGTGTGTGTATGGTACACTTAGTGATTTCTTCTCAATCATGTTTTTATGATACCCACCCTATCTGCCCCCAAATATTTATGAAAAGATGTGAAATTATTACTTTTAAATATTAAGTGAATTATTTGCATGTATAAGTCAACCCTTTCTGAAAGGCACTCTTGAAGTCCAATATCTGTGAAGTCTTTAAATGAAACTTTGCCTAGTCACCCAGTTTTCTGAATTCTCATTTACAGATTCGACAGTTTATTTGACACCCTCAGATTGTAAGTTATTAGTGATGTGGGTTAGGGATAAAGTCACTGCCCTGTCAGAATCAGTCTCTCAGAGCAGGTACATTCAGCTCAGTGCCCATAATTAGCATGTAATCTTGTACCTTATCTTTTTTCATAAATGTTACTAATCTCTCTAGACTGACAGCAAAGCTTTATATTCTTGTCTCCTAACAGGCACCCAGCAATAAAGTTGGCTAATCGTAATTATTTGAATAAATACATGTGCCAACAAGATTTCATGAGACAAAGAAGTGCCAAAAAAACCAAACGAAGGTCTTTTGCATATTGGAAGTCTGAGGATAACTACACAATAATATTGTTAGCGTTGCTTCTTTAAACTTGATTGTTTTAACAAAGTTCTGTCTTTGCCTCATTTGCTTTGAACTTTTAGTTTTGTACCTTTCTAATCAAGTATATTTGAAATATATTACAAAATATTCTCTTGTATTTTAGTGTGAACATTTTGGGGATTTTATTTTTCCCTTTATGTTTATTTGTTAGCTAAAGTTAGCAGAGACTACTTTAAAGTTAGTGTTATTACAGGCTTGTTTCTAGGTGTGTCAACTTTGAAGATAATGGTTTGAAGTTTGAAGAGTCTGTGGATGGTAAAATGCTTTTTCTTTAAAATATTAAGATGTCAGTTAATGACCTGACTCATCTGAAATGGAGTGGCAGAAGTTTGTGCAGGGGTGTTTTGGGCCCAAGTAGTTTTAAAATAAATTTGGTTAGCTTTCTCTAACTAGCACCCACCCCACTCAGGCAATTTAATAAAGGTATTGCTATATATGCTTTTGTGTGCCTTATCCCAGTCCTAGTATCCAAGTTGTATGGTATCCTATTTCTCAGTTTTTTCTTACTACCCTAGTGATTAAAAAAATTAATCACTTATTCCTTTGCTTAAAACTCTCCAGTTTCAACACATTAAGCTGAAGTCCAGACTCTTTATCTAGACTCACAAAGCTCTATACATTCTGGCCTCTCTGCTTCTCTGATGTCAATCCATCACTCACCCATGCTTATTCCATTCCAATGACATTCACCTGTTTGCTATTTCTTAAACATACGAATTTTGTTGTTTCCTATTGAATTTGCCCTTGCTTTTGTCTCTGCCAGTAATACTTTTCCTACCGACTTCTTAATGGCTGTTTTCTCAAGGTTCTGCTTAAATGTCACCTTCTTCCCTGAGCACCTCACAAAAGATATCTCTCCCATTGCTGTCTATCCATTTTCTTGCCTTATTTTTTCTTCATAGTGTCTATCATTAACTGAAATTATATTATGTATTTGTTTATATGTGTAGTAGGTAAACAAATACAAGTAAAGTGAAAATTCCATGAAGGGCAGGAAATATTCCTGTCTTATTCATACTGAGTTCCTAGCTACTAGAACAGTGTCTAGCATGGTAGATACTTCGAAGGTATTTTGTGAATGAATGAATATATATGAGTATATATATAATGAGTATAAGACTACAATTTGATTAATATTTACTTACCTTTATACTGTTCATGGTAGAAACTACCTTATATGTAGGAAATCAGCTTCTGGGCTAAAGTATGAAGATACTTGATGATCTAGACTGAGCTTACTTTGAGTTTTCATTCAAAATTTGGTCTTACATATTTCCCCATAGTATTATTAACAAGAATTTACATTTATGTATATATAAGATACAGTAGCATCTAAAACAAGAACATACTTTGTTCAGGAACCTGTCTATATTGGTCCCTACTTACTTCCTCTCCACTTGAAGCATCAGGATTTTGACAACAAAGGTTGATTAAATCTACCTGGATCATGTATTTTTTCCTTAACAATACTGGAAAGGTTTTCTTTAAATACCGCTTAATGTTGGATGAACAATATTGGCATTTTTGGCGAGACAGTGCTTTGCTGTGCAGACACAATACTGCAGGATGTTTAGCATCCCTAGCCCATGCCCAGTAGATGCCAGTAGGATCCCCCAGTCACGAGGACAACCAGCTGCTCTCACACATTGCTAAATACTCTTTAGTTGTAGATACTGTTCCTAGTTGAGAACCACTCCAGATTTCATGAACAAAATGAAGGGTGTAGTTGAGAATGAAATGAAACCAAACAGCAAAGAGTTCACACACACGTGTGTGTGTGTGTGTATACACACACAGACATATATACAAACACCCCAACACTGCAGTGTCTTAATGATTTAGATCCTTTTCCTTTAAATATGCTGGTTTTATGCTTTTTAAAAATATGCTGCTTATGCTTTATTTACAGATTCTTTTCTTTTTCCTGTCAGCATCTCTACCAGACAGGTTCCACTGGTCACTTTCTTATAACAGCACTGATATGTAGATTGAAATGAGATTTCTGCTTTTATATCTGCCACTCAGCTTAGTCTTTAAGCTGCAGAGAGCTAGTATGCTATAGTTTAAGGAATATTAGTTTTTTCCTTGGTGGCTTTGTGGATTTGGGTATTTATTTACTCTCTTTGAGGCTTAGTTTCCTTTTACAAAATATGTTTTGAGAAGATTAAATGAAATATTTTCAAAGTGACCGAAAAAGTGACCAGAGATCAATACTCCTCAATTCCCCCTTTAATTGTATTTCTATATCGCTGGCTAATGATTAAAAGTTAAGGTTTCTGGGTCAGACTGCTTGGTTGGAATTCTACTTCTGCTGCTTACTAGCTGTATGACAATACGAAACCTTTCTAAGACTCAGCTTATCTATCTATAAAATTGGGTATAGTAGTATCCACTTATTATGTATAGTAGGAGGATTAAATGAATTAGTTCCTGGAATTAGTAGCTGGCATGTAGTAAGCCCTCATTGAATATTAACTATTTAATTTGCTATTAATCAAATCCACGAAATATGAGGTCTCTATGATGTGGTCTCTGTCCATTGCGAATGTGCTCTTCTGCATAGTAAATAGCAAATGCTTGTGGAATCTTTGGGTGCAGGCACATTTTAGGCCCCGTAGGCTTTGGGTTGAGGGCTGACTAGAAACATTTTCCTCTTACTCTAAATCTGTGGTAGTTGTGATAAAAAAAAACAAAACAAAACCATCCAGTTGTTGCCTTGATGGCATTTTCTATTTAACTATTTCATACCTCTTGGGGGTTATATTTATGTTTAAAACATATTCTCTACCTAGCTGGTGTTACATCATCAGTTCATTATATTGGGTCCAGCTGTCTGAATGCTCCTGCAGGCTTCTGTATAGTTCCTCTTTAGCATTAAGTATCTAGGGTTATCAAATCCAGAATTTAGTCTTTTGGTTCAAGAGAAGCTAAGCCTACACCATCCTTCACTAAAATAGAGACCACTGGTAGCCAGTCATATTCAGAGACAAAGAACATTATTTTAGTCACTAATCTGACCAGTGGAGGGCAAAATTTACCAAGTCAGTTGTTACCAAGAAATGGTTTCAGAGAAGAATGGAAAAGTGGTCCTGCTTATAAGGATTAGAAGTGAGTCATTGCTAGCCCCAAATGAAGGCATTTCTGGAATCCATCAGAAGAAGCAGGATGGCTGACATCAGGATTTTGCAGTGTGTGTGTCAGGGAATTCATAAAAATCCAGATTTTCTCTTTAGTAATTGAGACAAGCAAGGTGAATAGAGACATTTTATTGGAGCCTCACAATTAAAAAAGACCAACCCAGAGCTGGTCAGTATTTCCTATCAACAATAAGACATTTATTACTGTGATCATTACATTAGAGCTAACTAATCATTAGGCTAACAGGATGGGATAAGCTGCACTTTCTAGAGCTGTTCAGCTGCTGCAGAAAAAACACCTGTTGAGGCTAAACTGCTGCCAGCATCTTACAGAGGTATATGGGCAAGCTGCAGATGTCATTGTTGACATGGTTCCAGGCACCATCTAGAGCCCATTATGGATGTGGCCCTCACTTCCACCAGAGAACCTCCGTAATCTGTGGGAATCAATTATACACACAAGTCTGTGGTGTCCAGGGAAGTGAGGAACCCCCCACAGATACTGGCAGATTCAAATTTTACCTACACTGCTAGGCTTCCAGGAGTAGGTTAAGAATTCTTGGATGAGACGAATTTATAGTTTTGAGAAGTTATAAGGTTATCTCTTTATATAGCACTTTATTCACCATGATAACAGACTGATGAAGAACATTGTTTTTGGAGATGCCATTGGATGGCCCAAAATTTATCTCTCCACTTACTAATTCTGTGAGTTTGTACAAATTACCTAACTTCTTAAAATATTCAAATATTTTATTCCTTAAAATAGTTATCTGAAGCAGATATTATTATCATACCCTGTTACAGATGAGGAA